TCTGTGTGGGTCTGGCTGCAGAGCCTGTCCTCTTGGCCATTTACCATCACTTGTATGGCCATGTTTGTGCATGAGTGGCTGCATCTATGTGCCTTCAGTGAGGATGATCCAGCACACAGCCTGGCACAGAATAAGAGCTCAATAGCTCAAACAAATTATAAACAAGGAAACAGGTTCAAGTATCAGGCTAGGGATGTAGCTCAGTAGTAGAGCAATATGTGTGAGATCCTGTGATGGATCTCCAGCATGGGATTAAAAGAAAGTGTCAAGTGTCTTGTCACTTCTGAAGCTTATAGCCAAGTGGTGGTGGTGGGGGGGGGCAAGCACTCAAATGATCACAAAAATAACCAACGATAATTATTAATAATTATAACTATGACAAGATTCAGAAGGGTAGTAGATATTTCCCCAAGGAAGATGAAGTGACATGTGAAGGAAGAACAGATGTGAATGATCATAGCTAACATGTACTGAGTACTCAGTATGTGCCAGGCACTGATCTAAACACATATCATTATGTACACTTATTCTCACAGCGCCTATGACAGAAGTGCCATTATTATCCCCTTCAGGGACAACCCCTCAGGTACAAGAAATATAAGTAAACTGCTTAAAGGTACTCAGCTATTAAGCAGCAAGGTCAGAATTTAAACCTAACCCCTAGCATCTGATTCAGTTTGTACTTTAGATTATTATGCTGTGCTGTCTCCCACAAATTAACCAGGTAGGTGAAGGTCCTGGGGTAAGGCAATGACACCTRAGCAGAGGGAGCTATGCATGTTAGAGCATCAGAAGAAGGTGGTCCAATACCATGCTGAGGATCTGGGTTTTACCTGAAAAGCAACAGGACACTCTGAAGAGTTATAGGCAGGGGAGTGGCATGAATCAGATTTGTGGTTCTTTCGAATCACCCAACTACTGCTTAGAGAATGGGTTCTATGGGGACCTGAATGGGTTGGCAGTTGTGGAAAGAGAGAAGTGAACAGATCAGAGAGATTCTGATGAGAGCTGGATATAAAGGTAGGAAAGAAAGACAGGCAAAGGAAACTGRGCAGCTGGTGGCACCATTTATTGTGGTAGCAATGCAAAGCAAGAACCTGGTTTAGTTTGGAAGTGAGGCTTTGGCCTTAGTTAGGTGCCCAAGAGACTTCATGTGGAGATGCCTARCATATGGTAGTCAAGTCTGGCACTCAGGAGAGAGAGGTCTGTGCAGGAGGTAGAGATTAGGAGTCACTGGCAGATGGCAGAGACTGAAATCACAAGAGAGCATGGGAGCATGAAGAGAAGGCAAATGGGCCCAGGCACCACCTGCATCCTGAGAAGGGTCACGGGAACCCKTGTGGGAGTGTAAGCACACGGGCTTGGTAAGCTGTCACTGGTTCTAGACTCTATGCTTAGTACCAGTGTCTCATCCTGGCACCAGAATGGCTACCGTATGGGCGTGGATGGGCTGCTAGTGACAGACACACAGCCTGAGCACAGTGGAAACTATGGCTGCTATGCAGAGGAGAATGGCCTCCGTACCCTGCTGGCTTCCTACAGCTTCACAGTCCGGCCTGCCACTCCTGCCATTTCCAATGCCCTCCTGGGATGAGTAGGTAATGACTTTTCCACCCTCCTTCCCAGGGCCACCACCACCACTGAAGACCCGTTCTGTGCTCCGGGGTGATGATGTCCTTCTGCCTTGTGACCAGCCATCCAACCTGGCCCGTGCTTTGTGGCTACTCAATGGGAGCAAAGGTCTAAGTGATGGGCAGGATGGCTACCGTGTCGGCGTGGATGGGCTGCTAGTGACAGACACACAGCCTGAGCACAGTGGAAACTATAGCTGCTATGCAGAGGAGAATGACCTCCGTACCCTGCTGGCTTCCTACAGCCTCACAGTCCGGCCTGCCACTCCTGCCCCAGCTCCACAAGCCCCTSCCATGCCTGGGGCACAGCTGGCACCAGACGTGAGGCTGCTCTATGTGCTAGCCATTGCTGCACTTGGTGGCCTCTGCCTCATCCTGGCCTCCTCCCTCCTCTATGTTGCTTGTCTTCGGGGAGGCAGACGAGGACGCAGACGGAAATACTCACTGGGTCGGGCTGGCCGGGTAGGGGGCTCTGCTGTGCAGTTGCAGACAGTCTCAGGCCAATGTCCTGGAGAGGAAGATGAGGGTGATGATGGGGAGGGGGCTGGGGGCCTGGAGGGCAGCTGCCTCCAGATCATCCCTGGGGAGGGTGCCCCAGCTCCACCGCCCCCACCACCTCCACCACCACCGACTGAGCTGACCAATGGGCTGGTGGCACTACCCAGCCGGCTGCGGAGGATGAATGGCAACAGTTATGTGCTCCTGAGGCAGAGCAACAATGGAGTGCCAGCAGGGCCCTGCTCCTTTGCTGAGGAACTCAGCCGCATCTTGGAGAAGAGGAAGCACACGCAGCTCGTGGAACAGCTAGATGAGAGCTCTGTTTGAGCCCAGCCTCCGGAACAAATTCTCKTCCAAGCCAGCCTGTGTGCCCCAGGCTGGGCTGCTGCCTCCCCAACATAGCCACTCTCCTTCACACCCCCTACTCCATGCCCTTCTCCCACCTTTTTGATGTCTCTGTARGGCTGGCCAGTCAGGCCCAGCCTAAGCCCCTTTCTCAGTCTCCAAGACCTATGTGTGAGCAGCCCAGGCCAACCGGTGCTCCTCAGAGGTAGGTGCTCCCTGGGGACCAGGTGCTCTGCTGATCCAGACACAGTTCCTATTCCCTTAACCTAAATGCTTGGGAGGAGAGTACTTACTCCATCCTCTGCTTCYGTTATCTGCCCAACCTTTCCTTTCTCCCAGGTAGGGCTCTGCAGATCCAGATGGCCTCAATGTCACCACCCTCTGCATGGCCCTGTTTGGTAGATCATCCTGAAGCCAGATAAGACCTCTGCTAGCCACCTGAGCCCTGCATACATTCACTTGTGCTCATGGAAGAATGTTCATCAGCTGGGCTGCAGTGCCCCACCCCACCCCACCCTACCCTCTCCTGCTACATTCTTGTGTTTCATCTCTTCTTCTGGATTTGGGGTACCCTTCCAATTGTCACATCCCTGTCTAGTTATCTTCCCCCAGTCCCCCCTCCCYGCCCCCACAATGTGTTGATGCCATTGGCAAGAGCTTGGGATCAGGCCAGCCTGGGAGGTAAGACTGCATCATTCCCCTCTTCTGCCTTCCTGTGCAGCCCTTGTGAGTCTGCCTCCCCACTCCCCTTGGTCACACCGAAGAGCAACAGAGCTCTAGGCATGTCCTTTCCCTATGCATATGTGGTAACACACCCACATCACATGTGCTTACATTTCCACCCACGTACACCTCTGAGCCTCCCCTTGCTGCCTTGGACCTGTGTCTGTCAGGTTTGGTCCATGGACATTTCAAAGGGAGATCCCCCTCCCATTTAGCTGTCTTTGCAGACCCTTCCCTAGGACGGGTGACCAACACTGCACTCAATGAGCCAGCTTCCCTTTTGGGGACCAAGCATTTTCTCCCCCTCAGCCACAGCARGGAGAGAAGAGGACTGATGTCTCACCTGGCACACTAAGCCCGTTCTTGGAACTATGCAAAGGGCAGAGGCTGGGAGTTTGGATGCTTGGCTCCCACCCCTGTCCTACCTCACCGGGACACTTTCAGAGTCCAGGGGCCTCTGAAGTCTTCAGGCCCATATGGGACAATCAATTCTGAGCTCCCCCATTCCCATTGGGTGAGGATGACTGTTATTTTTGTAGCTGAGAACGTGGAATCCCACGGGTTTTTACTGCCCTTCACCCARCCTCTCCCACCTCCACCCCACAATGAATGTATTTATTGTGAGAACGGCTGCAGTTCTTTAGGAATGTCCCCACTCATCCCCAGGTGGGTGGAATAGGCATGTGWGAGTGGGGAGCCTGGGCTCAGCTCCTCCCCCAATGTTGGTTAATAAATATCCTTTTCCCCCCACATCTCTGAGTAGTCTGATTGGTATAGATTGACTTGCCCTGGTCCTCAGGGTACAGGCTCTGAGCCTATGGAGAGAGTGCTACAGGGGTTCTTGCATCCAGGCTTGGCCTTGCTTTCCATACAATTATTTGCAAAGGAAACTGAGATCCTTAGCTTCCATCATGGCTGTGCTGGGTGGGCACACAGTCCCTTTTATTAAGGTTCACATTATTCATTGACTGTGGTTTAAGGTCATGACAAACAAGAAAATCACAGCAGTTGAAGAATTCACACAAGGGTTTTCAGACTTTTTACTTTCTGTACACGTCCCCATGCCTGATTCCCTGCCTTTTTGTTTTGCAGTTCTGGGATTGAACCCAGAGGAACTTTACCACTGAGCTACATCCCCAGCTATTTTTATTTTTGAGACAGTAGTAACTAAGTTGCTTAGGGCCTTACTAAGTCCTGAGGCCAGCCTCGAACTTGTGAGCCTCTTGCCTCAGCCTCCCAAGCCACTAGGATTATAGGCATGCACCACCACACACAGCTTCCCTTTTTTAAATTAAGCTGGGGGAAGGGGGGGTTGGGGTTGTAGTTCAGAAGAGCGCTTGCCTAGCATGTGTGAGGCACTGGGTTGAATTCTCGGTACCACATATAACTAAATAAAGGTCTGTCAACAACTAAAAAAAAAAATTTTTTTAAAGAAAAAAATATTAAGCTCAGGGGATGCTCCTTATTTATCAGTCTTCCTGCTCTTCTAAACAGCTTTCTAGCACCTCCCATCCACTGGTCCAAGGGATGACATGGATTCATAGCTGCATAAAGAGGGGTCTTGGGGGTGGGGGTGGGGATGGAGCTGGGACTAGGGAAAGCTTGTTATGGGGAACCTTGTATGAGAATCACCCAGGACTCCCTCCAGGAGTCAGGCCTAGATAATTGCCTAGAACAATTATCTAGATAATTGCCTAGAACATTGCCTTTGATCCTAATGATACAGGGTTATATGTTCTGCTTCTGGATTTAGGATAATGAAATCTCCAGCTTATGCTTTAAAATGCACACATTTTGAAGAACTCAAGTATGATGATAAGTTTAATGACCTCAGTTTTCTAATCTGTACATAATCACACAAGAGGTTTCTTGCCCAATGTCTGGTCACAATGGAGAATAGCTCAAAGGTTGTGGCAATAGGACATCAAGGATTCTTCAGAAGCCAGCCCTGAATCCCCTGTGTTTTGAGATTAGTATAATCAATTTGAATTTCAGAAAACAAAGACCCTGTACAACACTTCAAAGTTCTATCATCTCAGGTTTTGGGGATGCCAACTGGATTAGAATTAGAGAGTTCACAAGGTCACTGACCCCTAACTGTGGAAAAAAAGAGAAAAAACCACTTTACTAGGGCAACAGTCTCAGGTCTAGGGTTGGAGTTGGTAGGGCAACTCTTCTTCACTGCGCTTGCACCTGGGCTGGGACAGGATCCTGGAGCTCCCTGGGTCGCAGCCCCAGGAAGGTTGTCGGTTTGTTGGTGAAGGGGTGCCACTGGCCCTGTATACTAGGATTGTCGGTGTGGAAGGGCTTGCGGATGCGGATCACGTCCAAGCCCGACTGGTCTGCCAGCTTCTGCACCAGAGTCGTGATCTCTTCGACCGACTTGCAGTGGATGCTTTCCTCTCGTACAGCTCCGTTAACTGGCAGGGCGGAGACGGAAGCAAACAGGTCAGATGTCAAGCATGGGGAGGCTAGAGAACGGAGCTCGGACCCCGCCATCCAGCCCTAACCCGGCGCCACTCACGGTATTCAGCCACTACTCTGGGCACGCAGCACGGCTTCGAGTTCACATATATTACGACCCCTGGGTTCCGTCGGGCGAAGTCGGTCACTTCGCGTTCCACGAACTCCCTGAGAGACCCGGGAAGAGTGAGCTCGGTGACCCCTGACCCGGCGCGACCTCGGCCGGGAATCCTTACTCCCTCTCCACCTCCGTGCGCTTTCCCGCACTCACCTGGCGCCGCGGGACGAGGGCGCGTCTCGGCTGAGGCTAAAACTGAGACGCTGTAGCTGCTGCACGTAGCGACCCAGCCCGTTGTGGAGAACACTGGTCAGAAAGCGACTCGGAGTCCCGCGCGCAGTCATTGCTACTGCTCGGAGGTAGCGGAGCCCAGTTGCGGGAAGTGGGGGCGGGACTGAAAACGAACTTCCGGTTCCGGGGACCTTAGCGCTCCAGAGAGTTTTGCTTCCGAGGTTACCGCGAGTGGCGCGTGCTAACGACCCACGTTGTGGGCCGAAGGAGAGAGATGAGGGGCCAGGGGCCGGAGCCTTGGAACTCCTAGAAACAGCAGAGGACAGACACCGGGAGAGAGGAGCGGGGCGCGTTCTTAGGGTTCAGACTGGCGGGAGTCGTAGAGTAGCGCCCTAGCCCTGTGGAAGGTCCCAGTGAAGGGGAAGGAGTGCGAAGAGGGTCTCCATCTGGGTCCTAAAACAGAGGGACCACAGAAAGGATGCGGAAGGCTGTGACTGTAGAGATGAGTACTACGAAAAGAGTGCGTGGAGGGGTGGTAGAGGTGAGGAAATGATACGGATAGGTAGCGACGAGGACTGCAGAGGGTCACAGAGGTGAGAGAAACCATAAAGGACTGACGATAGAGGTAAGGGAGCCTTTATAGAAGGACATATAGATGTGAAAGGGTCATGTAGATGGGCAGAGATGTGAAGTGGCAATGTAAAAACACAGAGGAAGATTCAGGGGGATGTTATGACARGTTTTAGGGGAGATAAGCAAGCTAAAAGTGAACTCTGTGGAGTGTTCCCTAGTGTTTGACCTAATGAAGACACCCAAACCAGGCATTTAAGGCTTCTCAAGTAGTGACTTACTACTGCACTAGAAATGTGGGTCCTCCTCCGGGGTGCATACCCACTCCGGATCTTGCTGCCCCTGCGTGGGGTGTGGATGGGTCGGAGGGGTCTGCCCCGAAGYTTGGTCCCAGGCTCTTCTCGTCGCAGGTACAGGAAGGAGGCTCTTCCAGCCTTGGAGATACCAGTGTTGCCTCTAACTACAACTGAAATTCGGCAGTATTTACGGGCACACGGAATCCCCTTTCAGGATGGCTACAGCTGCCTTCGAGCACCCAGCCCTTTTGTGGGGTCCTCAGAGCCCAAGGATCAGACTAGTGCTGCCACTTCCTTCAGTCTCTTCATTGACAAGACCACAGGCCGCTTTCTCTGCATGACTAGCCTRGCAGAGGGGAGCTGGGAAGACTTCCAAGCAAGCGTGGAGGGACGAGGGGATGGGGCCAGAGAGGGGGCCCTGCTTACTGAGGCTCCAGAAGCTAAGGACATTGAGGAGATCCGGAGGATCTGGGACCGAGCAATACCACTCTGGGAGCTGCCTGACCCAGAGGAAGCCCAGTTGGCTCGTATGATGTTTGGCCTTACCAAAGTGACAGATGAAACACTCAGGCATTTCAGTGTTCGGTACCTACGACCTGCTCGAAGTCTGGTCTTTCCCTGGTTTTCCCCTCGGGATTTAGGATTACGAGGTCTGAAGCTATTAGGGGCTGAAGGCCAGGGAGATGGAGTACACTACGTGGAGACCACTATTCCCCGGCCTGGTGCCTACCACAACCTGTTTGGATTACCACTGATCAGCCGTCGAGATGTTGAGGTGGTTCTGACCAGTCGTGAGCTGGACAGCCTGGCCTTGAACCAGTCTACAGGGCTGCCCACCCTTGCCCTACCCCGAGGAACCATCTGCTTACCCCCTGCCTTACTCCCTTACCTCGAACAGTTCCGAAGGATTGTGTTCTGGCTAGGGGATGATCTTCGGTCCTGGGAAGCTGCCAAGTTGTTTGCCCGAAAACTGAACCCCAAGCGATGCTCTTTGGTGCGTCCTGGAGACCAACAGCCCCGTCCCCTTGAGGCCATGAACCAAGGCTTAAATCTTTCTCGTATTCTTCGTACTGCCCTGCCTGCCTGGCACAAATCTATTGTGTCCTTCCAGCAGCTTCGGGAAGAGGTGCTAGGAGAAATATCAAACGTGGAGCAAGCAGCTGGTGTCCCCTGGAGCCGCTTTCCAGACCTCAATCGTCTCTTGAAGGGGCACCGGAAAGGCGAGCTGACAGTCTTCACAGGTAACCCTCTGAGAAATCACTGGGTTAAAGGGACAGAGAATCAGGTGTCAAAAATCTGGGTTTAGGCCAAATGTTGAGAAGGGGGCTTCCCCTCCTASCTTTATAGCTCTAATCTGTGTTTTGATTTAAGGGACTTTTCTCCTTACCCAGGACTGTGTTCATCTCTACTACAGGGCCAACAGGCAGTGGAAAGACAACATTCATCAGTGAGTATGCCCTGGATTTGTGTACCCAGGGGGTGAACACACTATGGGGTAGCTTTGAGATCAGCAATGTGAGACTAGCCCGGGTCATGCTGACGCAGTTTGCCATGGGGCGTCTAGAAGAACAACTGGATAAATATGAAGAGTGGGCCGACCGCTTTGAGGACCTGCCTCTCTATTTCATGACTTTCCATGGACAGCAGAGCATCAGGTGAGATCCTCATAGCCCAGCCACTTTGCTTTTCCAGACAAATCCCAGCACTTAGCACCTTTGGTTCCCTTTCCAACTCTAGTGGGAACTACTTCCGGGTCTCCTTAGATAGGTTTAGGGTTTTCAAAGAATGGAAGGGAAAAACAAATTGCCTGCAGACCAGCTGTTTTGCCTGAGGTGTCTGGAGGCTATTTGTAATTGACTCTTGAGTTCATTGCCTCTTCTTCTTCCCAGGTCTGTAATAGACACAATGCAACATGCAGTCTATGTCTATGATGTTTGTCATGTGGTCATCGACAACTTGCAGTTCATGATGGGTCACGAGCAGCTGTCTACAGACAGGTGATGCCCTCTTCTTGTCTAACTTGGATATGTCTTCTGAGGCAGCTGGCCTCTAGGTACACACTCTGTACTCTCTTGTTTTCTGAGAGGTGTACAGGTACATACCACCCTGTATGTATTATTTAGAGTTGGGGGCGGGGGGTGGCAGCAGGAAGTATGGATGAGGGCCTGATTGTGAGTTCTTGGGTAGAGGAAGTGGACAGTAGAGTTGGGGTGCTTTGTGGGAGGATGTGGGTGGATTAAGGGTATGTGTCTGTTCTTGAGTCAGGCGCAGTGGCGTATACCTATAATCCCAGCAACTCAGGAGGCTGAGGCAGGAAGATGGAAGATTCAAAGCGAGTCTCAGCAACTTAACAGGGCCYGAAGACCCTGTCTTAAAAAAATAGGGCTGAGAATAGTGGTTGAGTGCCCCTGGGTTCAATACCCAGTACCAAAACAAAACAAAAAAAGTTCTTGACTTTCTGACTGTTCATCAACCTCTTTGGAACAGGATTGCAGCTCAAGACTACATCGTTGGGGCCTTTCGGAAGTTTGCAACAGACAACAACTGCCATGTGACATTGGTCATTCACCCCCGGAAGGAGGATGATGACAAGGAATTGCAGACAGCATCCATTTTTGGCTCAGCCAAAGTGAGTGGACTTTAAAGGGGCTCAGGCTTTGGAGAGTACAGGGGACAGATGTAGCCAGAGAAAGGTCTCAGTCAGCCTTAGATTATCTTGACTGTGGTAGGAGAGGCAGGAGGCAGTGCTTCTGGGGCATGACATGAAGACACCAGAAATACAAAGGCTGGTAATAGTTAGTTCTTTGCCCTCTGAGAGCTCACATCCTCTAGTGAGGGAAACAGTGAGATAGTGATTGTGGCTCAGTGTGATGAGAGCTACGATAGGAAGCATAGGTATTTGGGGAACAAAGAGGAGAGATCTGAGTCAGCCTGAGGAGACTTCCCAGAGGAAGTGTTAACAAACATTGTGCTGTAGTTTGGCAGACTAGGTATTAGACAGTCAAGTCCATGGGAGTGCCTGCTGGGCATCAGGACCAGCCCAATCCTAAAGATTCCAGTGGTACACTGGGTACCTATTACATGCCAGGCCTGGGCTGGGCACCTGGGAATTCAGGGTGAGGAGCATAAACTCTGTGCCACGATGGAATAGACAAGGGTCTTGGAAAGAGAACAATGCAGCAGAAGTGCAGAAATGATGTGTTTTCTTCAGGAAATAAGAATGTTCTCTCTGAAGTATGACATTTAGACTGAGACCTGAATGATGAGAAGCTGGGTTGAGTAGGGTGGCCCACTGTAGAGGAGAGGTGTTGCAAGTCAAGGGAGCAGCACAAAGTCTGAGATAGTAGCAAGCTTACTGTGAAGGAAATGGGAGACTGAAGTGGCCCCAGCATCACTTGTTGAAAGAGCTTTAGTAATGGGGGAGTACTTTTCCATTTCCAGTTCTTGCCACTATTCCCTAAACCTTTAGCCTTCTTTTCTGTTTCACTCACATGTCTTCTTAACTCCGGCTTTCGTCTTTCTGCTCCCTGTCTCCTAGGCAAGCCAAGAAGCAGACAACGTTCTGATCCTGCAGGACAGGAAACTGGTAACTGGGCCAGGAAAACGATATCTGCAGGTTTCCAAGAACCGCTTTGATGGAGATGTGGGTGTCTTCCCACTTGAGTTCAACAAGAACTCTCTCACCTTCTCCATCCCTCCAAAGAGCAAAGCCCGGCTCAAGAAGATTAAGGATGACAATGGACTAGTGGTCAAAAAGCCCTCTTCTGGCAAAAAAGGGGCTATGCCCCAAAACTCTGAGACTTAACTCAGGCCAGGGCCCCAATCCCTACCACTCAGAAACCTCTAAGCCTTCAAGTGAAGGCAACCCAGAGCAGTCACTGAAATGAGCTGACGGGACAGGCTGGGCCATAGACACTTTCTTGGCCTTCTGCTAGGACTTCTCTGTCCTATAGTCCTGAGCTATAGGCCCTTTTCAGGCTAGGGCAGGGTTTCATAGTGAGGAAATTCAATTTAGCTACTGTTTCCAAGAACTATCGTGTGCTGGGCTCTCCTCAAGGTCCTGAATATACATCACTGAAAAGAAAAATAAGGTCTCTGTTTCCACAGAACCAGTGTTTTAGTTGATGAAACAAGACAAGCAATGAACAAGTAAACAAAAAGTTTTAGTTAGTAAAAATACTATAAAGAAAATAGTAATGTGATGGGGTGCTCATGGGCTAGCATAGATGAAATGGCCTACAAATGTTGGCAGCATGCATGTAGTTAGGGCCTCAAGAATTAGAAGGATTGGATCATATGAGTATCTAGGGAGAGGGATCCAGGCAGAGAAAAGCACAGAGTCCTGAGATGGGAATAAGCAAGTCAAATTCAAGATAGTGAGGTCAGGCCCCCTGAACCTGGAGTGGGATAGGAAACTCCTTCCTGAAACTGCATCCTTTTAGGCTTTTGGAGCCAAAAGGTGACATGATGGTAGCAAGTCCCCCTGCTCCCTGCTTTGTTGAGTCAGGCATCAGGTGGCACCTTCTAAAATTAAAATTGATCCTAGGTGCTTAGCTCTGTAATATCAGGGCCTCAAATTGAGAAGGGAGCTTCCTCCTGCTTGATTACTTGGCCATGCAGCCATAATAGGAAGCTATGAGCCTAGAATGCCTGGGCACTGTTTGCATTATATGTAACTTCAGATGAACAGCTGGAGTTAGAACTTTTTATAAAGAGACTTTTTCTTGTTTTACTGAAAAAAAAATAATAATAATTCTTTCCATTACCTTTGTTTCTGTGCTTTTTCCTATTTGTCCACCAGGTGTCTCCCCAGTCTAACTGGACTTGACTCTGAATTGGGAGTGGATGGGTCCCCTCCCCCACTTAGAGATTTTGAGCTGTGGGCTCCCGTGGAAGCGGGGGCATTAAAAGGTTTTCACATCCACCTCTCCTTTATATCTCTTCTTGCCCTGGGGCTGGGAGGGTAGGGTACTGTGTTAACTTCCCTGAGAATCTCCATGAGATTTTTGGCAGAGGTGTGGGTCAGTGGGCCATATGTCCAGGCCCTATCTGACCAGCTGTCCCTCTTCCCTCTGTGATGTGAGTTACTCATCTATGAATGTGGACTCAAGACCCAAAATATTCTAATCTCTACCCCTCCCCTATCCATTTCCCTCCTCCTGTACTCTCTCTCAGGTTAATATGTGCCAAAACTCCTGGGGACTTTTTAAAAATATAGAACCTAAGCCCTGCTCTCCCCACCCCTCCTGCCCCCACCCATTATGCACACATTCTGGAGTTTGAGGAAGGGTACAGAAGTCCTCATTTTAACAAGCTCTGCAGGAGATTATAAAATAGATGATCCATAGACCCTCTCAGAAATATTCCTAAATGATGCTACTTTGTCATCTCACTTCCTCAGGTATTCTGAATTTCCAGTTTCCCTTTGAATTTGCCTGAAAAGGTGGTAAGGAAACAAGAATCCCTTTTTATGAGTAGGGGGAAGGTTTTTGCTCCATGGAAGCAGAGCTTCCTTTTCAAGGTCTTCCAGTCAACCCAAGAGGGGGCTTCTGGGACCCTGTGGAAGGGTCTGGAGTCTGAGAACTGTGGCCACAAACATCTCCAAAAACAGACCTTGGAGCAAAGCTGCTSCTGGCTGTTCTCTGGGGAAGATCCTGGGGGTGGGAGTAGTTTCTCCAGAGTTTGCTTTCTTGGGGGTCTCTCCCAGACTGGCTGGAGCCAGGCCTCCCTAATCCCGCAGTAATCATTTCCAGCCGTTGGCTGGTTTAGGCCTCATCCAGGGTCTGTAACACTGAATGTCAGCCATGCTTTCCAGATGTACAGTACCAGACCAGTCCTACCTACAAGAACATGAATTCCACATTTAGTCTTCCACAAATGTCTGATATGTTGGAAAATCATTTAGGGGTTTCTAGTAGGGGATCTTTGTGAAGGCTATGAATTGAGAATTTGGGGATAGAGGGATAGATATACATTTGTTTGTCTTGCTCCACCCTCCTGGAAGACACCCCTACACAGTGCAAACCAGAATGATGAGAGGGAGGGGAAGCTAACACTGTGCAGCCCCCATCCCCTATACAAATATTCCCCTCCATACCTGCCTTAAACTCCCCACATTAAGATGTAGCCCAGAGTATTATCAGAAGTTCCTGGAGCCAAGAAAGCAAAGGGTGGGGGAGATGCTTGAAGCAAGTTTTCTGGGATAAGGCTGGTAATCCCCCAGTGTTCAACAACTTAACAATTTCTCTGAGAGCTCAGTAAGGGGCTGTCCAAGCAGTGACCAGTTGGATCTGCAGGTTTATCCTCAGATTGACTGTCTATTTGTCACATGTAGCTGTGAAGGGCAGCTTCCATACTTTAGACGTGTTTGAGAAGAGACTAAACTCACCCTGAGTCCTGCAGCCCCAATACTCTTGGCTGCAAACAAGGCCCAGAAACCCGTAGACTGAGCCTTTCCACAGGCTGCCTTGAGTACCAGGGAGGGAGCTCTTGGTGCCTCCCTGCAATACAGGCCAACTTCCTGTTTGTGCCTGTGGGTGGGACTTTATGAGTCTAAGGGAAACATAGCCAGGCCTTGTGGGGGGCCAGGACTGACAACTGGCTCACCTGGGAAGGCACCTACCCCCCAGGGAAAGGGGCGGTGTTGATTCTGCTTCGGCAGCCCCAAGCAAAGGTGTATGTGTTGCCAAAAGGTCGGGGGAGCTGTTTTGATTAAACCCAAGCCTTCTGTGCCTGCCTTACAGGGGTTTTCCTTGATTGGGGAATAGGTTGAGAATGGATCGGGTTAGGCTCTCTACCGAGCATGGGAGGGTGACAGAGTCAAGCCCCATACCTTTAGGGTAGCCAGGTAATTTAGCTCTGGGTCACGTGCTGCCTTCCCTTCTCCAGGTGGAAAGCCATGAAGTCAGTCCACAGGGGCAGCCTCCGGCCACTATGGAGCTCTTTTTGGATTGAGTATTGAGTGGGTTGTTGAGGGGGTGTGGGGAAGACCACTCCCCTCCCCGGGTGGGGGGCGCGGCCTCAACCGCCCCGCCCCGCCCCGCTCCACCAGGTCGGGCCAGGCTGGTGCCGGGAGCCCGGAGCCCGGAGCCCGGAGCGGGCTGGGGATCGGCGTTCTCGCCCTTAGGAAGTGGGCGCGCTGGAGCAGGAGCTTGGCGGGGAGCTGGAGCGGCGGTGCAGGTGGTGTTAGGTGAGTGGCAGGGCGGTGGGGGTGCAGGAACCCCCACCTCCCGCACATCTTCACTCCGGAGCGAACTTTCTGAGTCTGGGCAAGCTGAAGGTTAGTGTGAGAAGGAGTGGGGGTCCCTGCTCCGTGGGACGCAGGCRAAGAGTCCGAACAGCAAAGCGACATAGAAACCGACGGACCTAAACACACGCGTGTACACAGACCCACGCATGCACTTGGGACACATGAACACACGTGCGTTCGGAAAGGACGCACCCTGTTGGATACCCTAGCAGTCCGAGCGATCCGCGCCGACCCCAGCCGGCAGGGTGATGCTAATTTAGTCGTGGGTGGGGGAAAGGGGACTCCCCGTGACCGCCAGCGGGGGCGGGCAGGGTGGGACCCATCCGGAGGTTCCTGCTTCCCAGCCGCCTCCCTGCAGGTGATAACCRAGACGTAAACAGGCGCCGAGCACGTGATTGCTCCGCAGATTGGTGGGCTGTGCTCCCCTAACCCCACCACAGGACCGCGACCAGGCCAGGGAGTTTGCTTGGTCAGGTGCGGGGCTGATTCCATTATCTGCCTGGAGCGGCGATAAGCCCTCTTCTAGAAATAGGAGCACAACGCCCCCTGGAGCCAGGGTGGACGGGAGGCCGAGAGACTATTAGGCTGGAAGGCGTTATTTACTTGGACTTCTCACCTTACAGGTCCGAAACACATTGCTGAAGTCCGCATCCCTGAGGGTATCGGAGGGAGGCCTTTGATGGCAGTGGACAGCTGCCCCCGTCCCTTACCCSCAGCCCAAGGGGCAGCTGCCTGTGGGTCCCTTTCTACCACCACGTCCACCTTTTGCAGATCTGGGAACTCCTCCTCGAAGAGTAGGTACCGAGAGCCCACCCGTGCAAGAGTGGGAGCCTCCTATCCCCACAGGGAATGCTAGAGAGTAAATGACCCCTCAATACCCAAGGGGCCTACCCCCTCTAGTAAGAAGGAAGAGCCCCCACCCCCGCCCCCAGGGAATGAAGGAGGGGGCTGCAATCCTGCCTTCCTCCCCGCCCCACCCCCACCCCTCCACACGCTGAGCCCAGCTGCTGCCTAAGCTTCTGGGCCGGCTGCCAGAAAGGGGAGGAGGCTCTTAGTGCCCCTGGAGGCAGGGATGGGGCAAGGCCAGAGGAGGGGGTCTTTACTGGGGAGCGGGATTCATTCTGTTCTTGTGAGGCTGAGGGTCTGGGGTGAGCCTCAGGGTGGTTGGGCTGTTTCCCTTTCCAGGGAAAAAGAAAGAAAAACAACCCTTTCCATAGAGCTAAAAATAGAGCTGAGAGCCGGCCAGGCTGTGGCCTGGAAGGGGGGGGGATGCTCCTTCCTGGGGCCCAGCCGGCTCTGGCAGGCCGGGGATGGGGGGTGGGGGCGTGTGTAGGAGGAGGAAGGTTGGATTTGCTTAGGGGTATCGCATCAGCTGACCTGACCAGGTCACCGAGACCCCTTAGGGAAAATCCGGGGTAGTTTCTGAGGGGTGTGTATGTGTGTGTTTAAGAAGTTGTCAGAGTGTCTGAATAAGACTTGTCAATGAGTGAATAATGGTTAGGAGACCCAAGTCTATTTAAGTTTATGACGGGGTGCAAAGGACTGTGAGTTGGGAGAGACGGTGCACAATAGGCGTATGGCATCCAGGGTCTCCGTGTGTGAGTTGGCCTGAAAGATTGTGGAAAGGAGAAACACGCAACCACGTGATGGATGAGCCCGTGTGATGTGGCTGCCTGAGACTGAATGTGGGAAAGGTCGTGTGGGTGTTAAGATTGTGTTGTTTTCGAGAGGGTGAAAATATTTGTGACCCTGAGAAACACAGTGGAATGTTGTCTGCTTTGAGGCTGGTGTAGGTTTAGACTGTAGGTTTGGATCGCTTATTCCAGCGATTGGTGGGGCCAGAGGCCGCCCCCCTCCGAGCAATGACCTCTTCTAACAAATGACTCGGAGGGCAAGTTGTGGAGCACAGATCCGCGCCAGCGGCAGGCCTGGGCTTGCGGGCCAGGGCCCAGTGCTGGGGAGTGAAGTGGGTGACCCCCACAGTGGGGAGCGACTGGTGTGTGATCAGAACTGGCCGCCAGGTGGCGCCGCCTCTGCAAATCCAAGTGTGCCGCCTCCAACCAGTTGGGGGTGGGGCAGGCAGCGACCGGGCCTCGGCCCCGACTTGTGCCCAGGCTCCGGGCGCTGGTAGTTGAAGGCGGGCAACTAGCCCTCGGCCTCTTGTCTGGACTAAGAAGCTGGAGAGTGTCTGGGGGGGGGGGAGGCTTCTCCTAGAGAAGCGGAGGGGGAGGGGCGGCCGCTAGCGCGCCTTGGCCCTTTGTGCTTGAACAATGACCAGCTGCCACTGGCCCTGGGGGCCAGGCTAGGGTAGAGGGTGACCCGCCCGCCAAGTTCCGAGCCCCAAAACACATGTCCACCCGGCTTCGCAGGGAGGGATCCTGAATGCTGCCGTGCAGCTCCTGCGTGCGCCCTGGCGGACACGCGTGACGTGGGGTGCTTGCGCGTGTCTGCGCCCCAGGGCGGGGACGCCCCTTGGACCCTCCTCCGCACCGCACCGCCCACTCTGGCCGGGCGGGGGCTGGCCCGGGCTGGGGGCACCACGGTGGCGGAGGTGGAGGCGGGGCCCCGTCAGCCCGGCTGCTCCAAGTGGCCGCGCGCGGGCCGGAGCGGGCGACGCGCTTGTGGAGCGCTTGGGGCGGCCCGGGGCTGAGCATGGAGCAACGCAGCGGAGGTGAGGGGGCCAGGGCTGGGTCGCCCCAACTTCTCGTGGTGCAGTCTGGTAGGGAGGTGACATTCCACCGCCGCCCCCCCCCTTCATGAAAGCGGGGTGGGGGTGGGGGGGTGGACTGAAGGGTGGGTTGGGGGCTCCCTGCTTCCTGTCGCGAAATGGGAACTCAGACTTGTTCCTGCTTGACTGGTCCTTTGAGTTTGGGAGGGGGAGAGACTTTCCCCAACTCTGYAGCCCTTCAAACTGAGGTCTGTGAGAGCTGGGATCTTGGCCAGATGCCTCTCTGCCCCTGGCTGAACCTCACTCCCCCCAGCCCTCTAAACTGGGAGGCATCCCTATGCCAGAGTGATTGTTCAGGGAGTGCTGGGGAGAACGAGGGGTTCCCTTTTCCCACAGCCATAAACGCGTTTCTCAAAATGGAGCCTCGCTTGCCCCTCCTTCTCTCTTGGGCTCCAAGAGCAGGAGCCCGRCTGGCTGGGCCTGGTTTTCCAGATGCCTGGCTCTCAAGACCCACACCATGTCCCTCTGGATTTAGGGACCCTTGGCTCTGTGGCTTAAGTGACTCTGGTTCCCACTAGGTCTGCCTCTGTCTCCTCGTGTCTTAGCCTCTCTGCCTCTGAGTCTTTGTCTCTTGTCTTTGGGTCTGTCTTTCTGAGTCTGTCTACAGCCACCCTTTGCTCTGGTCACTCTGTGCTGTCTGAAGTGAGAAGTGCACACACAGTGCCTGCCGTTCYCCCACTGTTCTTCCATGCCCCGGAATGGTGCCTGAGAGTGGGGAGGACAAGAGGGGGAACTTTATCAGCTTTGCTCAGGGATGGGACTTATGGGGTGGTCTGAGCCCCCACCCTTGCCCTGCCCTGCAGAGGGGCCTATGATTGCACCCTGCACCCAGCTCACCTCCTGCCTGGCTCCTAGCAACTCCTCCCTTATTCTGGTCTTCTTCGTGGTGGTTCTCAGTGTTGTAGTGCCTATCCACTTGGGTGGGGGTAAAGAGGATAGACTCAATGGAGCACAGGCAAGAAAAGGGGAACAGATTGGGCAAAGGAATCAGATATTGTGAGTCTTACCTCTCCCCACCCCTCAAGAGGGTAAAAAAAAATCAGGCTCCCACCCACCCAGGGACCCTGCATGCCACTCAAGTCTCTACCTGTTCCTGCACTTGCTCACACTCCTACAGACTCCTTTTTACATACTTGTACACGCTCACCTTCCTGTTCACATAATCATGTAAGGTACACATAGCAGTTTACACCTAAACTTGCATATACATAAAGGCACTGATACATCTATCCAAACATTTTCTCTGATGTAATCACATTCAGACCCAAGTTCACTGACATGCATTTGCGTTTACCTACACTATAATATTGACCTCTTATTCACTCACACACACACTCTTATAAGACACACTTAAGAATTCACACATACTTTCATGTATGTATAGAATGTTCTGGTACATCTGCCCAAACACATATATTCATACCTCGTTGTAATGTACTCACACATTTTCATATACATGGACAGTGTTCATTTTTATGCTCCTGTACATATAGTCATGCACACAAATAAATAAATATGCACACTCCTACTCCCGTGAAGTTCTCTGTCCACTTCTTGGCCCTTGCTCTCCGTGATGACTTCAGCAGATGCCTAAGTCCTGGTCATCAACAGTCTCAGTACTGGGAGGGAGTTCCGGGTGGAGGTTTTGCTATCCCCTTCCAGGAAGGAGCAGGGCCTGGGAGGTGGAGCCCTCTTGCTTGAGATTCTGGCAAGGGAATCTGGGAGCAGCTGCTAGAGGTGGTGGTGGGCTTCTGCATGTATCCCCTGGGGCTTACTTTGGAGACCAGCTAAAGCTGGAAGGTTTCATAGAGGTTAGCTGCAGGGCAGAGACTGTCTAGCCTCTTTGGATCCTAACTATGGATTGTGGAGAAGCTAGGAGTTGTCATAGAAGTAAGCATGAGCTTGCCTCTACCTCTGAGAGGCAGGGGACCCCAGAGGGCTCCTTAAAAGCTGTGGGGTTCCTGTTTATCCAGCTCCACCTTTGCCGCCTCTCTGTCTGAGAGAAACTGAGGCCCAGCAGGGGGAGGTTGGGCACTACCTGGCCTCAGCTGTTTGTTCCTTAATTACCATCTGAGTTGCTGATTGCATCCCTGATGTTGCAGCCTAAACTGCCCTGTAATGAGGTCACCTGTCCCAGGAGAGCAGGGACCTACCTACCTGTGTTTGGAACTGGTGGAGATGGCTCCACACCTCACCTGAGCCCTGACCTCTTATAGGTTTGAGCTTGGGCCTGGATCTCCATTGCCAAATGGCCCTATGTAACCTCCCAGACCTCCCATCCCTTCATCTCTGCTTGGTGAAATCAGTCAACCTRTTCAGACCAGAGTTGGGCAGTGGTCTGGCACCTAGAGAGGATTGAGGTTCATGCCAGTGTTTGGAGGAGGAGGCTTGCGAGGGATTGGGACTTTTTATTGGTGCTGGGGTGGAGGGAGGTTTTACCTGGATCACAGGATCAGGAGAAGACCTTGTATGGGGATGGGGCTAATGGTGGAGGGATTCTGACACCACCGCCCTGCTTACACAGGTTGCCCTCGAGGCCCTTGGCCAGGCCTGAGCCTCTGCTGCCATGGCCATTGTGCACACTCTGCCAGTGCCACTGGAGCCAGCTCCTGAGGCCACAGCTGCCCCACAAGCTCCCACCATGGGCAGCGTGAGCAGTCTCATCTCTGGCCGGCCCTGCCCTGGGGGGCCAGCTCCTTCTCGCCACCACGGCCCCCCTGGGCCCACCTTCTTCCGCCAGCAGGATGGGCTGCTACGGGGTGGCTATGAGACACAGGAACCACTGTGCCCAGCTGTGCCCCCCAGGAAAAATGTCCCCGGCACCAGCTTCACCTACATCAATGAGGATTTCCGAACAGAAACACCCCCCAGCCCAAGCAGTGACATTGAGGATACACGAGAGCAGCGGGCACGCAGTGCCCACCTCCGTGGTCCCCCACCAAAGCTCATCCCTGTCTCTGGAAAGCTGGAGAAGGTAAGGACCAGCCCCTCTTTTGGAGTCTGGGTAGAATCAAAACCCCCCTCCCTGAGGAAGCTGGAATTTGTAAGCCTTTTTACAGGGTAGAATGTGAGCTCGAAAGTCGCCAGCCCTGGTTTCTAATCCCACCTGTCACATTCTGGCTGTGTGACCTTAGGGAAATCACTTAGTCTGTCTGAGCCCATTTTCTRTTATCAGTCTAGTCAAGGTAGACTTTCATTGGCTGTCATGAGAATTAAATCAAATAATGCTTAGCATGGTACTGAGGACCTACCTAGCAAGTACTCAGTAAATCTTAGTTTCTTCAGTTATCAGTGTCCAACAGCTGTGAGTTTGACTTGGACAAGGYCTATGGCCTTGCTCAGCCTCCATTTCCTCATCAGTAATATGGGGATGGTGATAATGTTTTACTCGTCTGTCATAATTGACTGGAAATGAACCTTTTGAATCACTTGACATAAAGCTGACACCCAGGAAGCCCYCTGCCAGTGGTAGCAATTGTTATTAATGTATGGGGGTTGGAGGTGGGAGGGCAGGGAGCATGACAAGGGCTTTGAAGGATCAGGCAGCACATCCTCAGTGTTATGTGGTACCTTGTTTCAGAACATGGAGAAAATCCTGATCCGCCCAACAGCCTTCAAGCCAGTGCTGCCCAAACCTCGAGGGGCACCCTCCCTACCTAGCTTCCTGGGTCCTCGAGCCACAGGGTTGTCTGGGAGCCAAGGCAGCCTGACACAGCTGTTTGGGGGCCCTGCCTCCTCCTCCTCCTCTTCCTCCTCTTCCTCTGCTGCCGACAAGCCCCTGGCATTGAGTGGCTGGGCCAGTGGCTGCCCCTCAGGGACTCTATCTGACTCTGGCAGAAATTCTTTGTCCAGCCTGCCTACCTACAGCACCGGGGGTGCTGAACCAGTCACCACCTCCCCAGGGGGGCACCTGCCCTCCCATGGTTCTGGGCGGGGGGCATTGCCTGGGCCAGCCCGAGGGGCCCCTACTGGGCCCTCCCACTCAGACAGTGGCCGGTCCTCCTCCAGCAAGAGCACAGGCTCTCTGGGGGGACGTGTGGCTGGGGGGCTCTTGGGTAGTGGTCCCAGGGCCTCCCCTGACAGTTCCTGTGGGGACCGCTCCCCGCCACCCCCACCCCCACCTCCCCCTTCGGATGAGGCCCTGCTGCACTGTGTCCTGGAAGAAAAGCTCCGAGACCGAGACCGTGACCGTGAGGCAGATCTGCAGCAACTGCGGGACAGTCTGGATGAGAGCGAGGCCACCATGTGCCAGGTGTGGTCAGTGGTGGTATTGGGGGTGGTGTGGCAGAACATCCAAAGATACTGGGAGTGCAAGGAACATTTCCATTTGGTGGGGAGACGGGGATGGGCAGTTATATTAACACCCCCCTGGTGTCACGTGCAGAGTGATAAGGAGTCAGAGCACTGCCTGCCATGTGCCAATTTTTAAAAATTGAGCAAGTTACTTAACCTTACAGAGCTTCAGTTTCTCCATCTATAGATGGAGATATTTCTGGCTCCATAGGGTCATCATGAGAAATAAGGCCAAGGATATAAAGTGCTAGCCTGGCACCTCGGAAGTGCAGTGTAAATGCTTGGTATTACTATGGTGGTTGTTTCTATTATTATCATAAAAGCCATTCATACTACTATTGTAATAATTATTACTGGTTTCATGGACTCTGCCCTCTTAGAACTCAAACTGTGGGCCACCTGGGCAGTGAGCAGGTGAGGGTGGCAGGGCTCAGTCTGGGGAACCTGAGCAGGACAGACCTGCCTTCTCGCCCACAGGCATTYGGGGAGCGACAGCGACACTGGCCTCGAGAACGTGAGGCCCTGCGTGAGGACTGTACAGCCCAGGCACAGCAGGCCGCACAGCGAGCCCAGCGCACCCAACAGCTGCTGCAGCTGCAGGTGTTCCAGCTGCAGCAAGAGAAGCGCCAGCTGCAGGATGACTTTGCACAGCTGCTGCAGGAGCGTGAGCAGCTAGAGAGGCGCTGTGCCACCTTTGAGCGGGAGCAGCGGGAACTTGGACCACGGCTGGAGGAGACCAAGTGGGAGGTTTGCAAGRCCAGGAGGGACAGGCAGGAGGGTGACACCAGGACACATTCTGGAAACACAGGCCCAGCTATACACTCCCTCAACCAGCCGCCCCAGAGTGCCTGCCCTTTCTCACCTCTGAGATAAGGACCCTCAGATCTCCCTTTTTGGGTGGGGTTCTCCTCCTGCTTCCATGTTGGGTCTCCTTGTTGGWCTGGCCTGGTGCCCACATAGCCAGTGGCACTGCTGTCTCACTGCCTCCCCTACAAGGTGGGTATTATTAATATCCCTATTTTAGACACAAAGAAACTGAGGCCCAGAAAAGTTGGAGCCGAGACTCACTCACACAACAGAGGCAGAAGTAAGATTTGAACCCAGGCTCTGATGTCGGTTCTCACACCCAAGACCTGGACACRTGCTCTGCCCATGGTTGCTCCCACTCCCGCACCACAACCACCTTGTTCCCGCGGCTAGGCAGTGCTTCCAGAGTATCTTCTGATGTTTTGATAAAACCAGCTTTGAAGGAAAAAGATCTGGTCTGTGTTCCCCTTTAGCCACTTACAAGGTGTGTGACATTGGCTATGTGGCTAGGCTCACCTCAGTGTCTCTATCTGTAAAATGGAGGTAATAATTGAGCTTCCTGAATGCCCAGCATGATGCCCAGGGCTGAYCCCCTGAGAGAACCCTTCTCACCATCCTTCCTGACCATCTCCCACCCTCAGGTGTGCCAGAAGTCAGGCGAGATCTCCCTGCTGAAGCAGCAACTGAAGGAGTCTCAGGCAGAGTTGGTACAGAAGGGCAGCGAGCTGGTGGCACTGCGGGTGGCACTGCGGGAGGCCCGGGCTGCTCTGCGGGTCAGTGAGGGCCGAGCCCGGGGCCTGCAGGAGGCAGCCCGAGCCCGGGAGTTGGAGCTGGAGACCTGCTCCCAGGAGCTACAGCGCCACCGCCAGGAGGCCGAGCGGCTCCGAGAGAAGGCCGGACAGTTGGACGCTGAGGCAGCTGGACTCCGGGAGCCCCCTGTACCACCTGCCACGACTGATCCATTCCTCCTGGCAGAGAGTGACGAGGCCAAGGTGCAGCGGGCAGCAGCTGGGGCAGGAGGCAGCCTGCGGGCCCAAGTGGAGCGGCTRCGGGTGGAGCTACAGCGAGAACGACGGCGAGGCGAAGAGCAGAGGGACAGCTTTGAGGGGGAGCGACTGGCCTGGCAGGCCGAAAAGGAGCAGGTGATCCGCTACCAGAAGCAGCTGCAACACAACTACATCCAGATGTACCGGCGCAACCGGCAGCTGGAGCAGGAGCTGCAGCAGCTCAGCCTGGAGCTGGAGGCCCGTGAGCTCGCTGACCTGGGCCTGGCTGAGCCAGCACCTTGCATCTGCCTGGAGGAGATCACTGCCACCGAAATCTAGGACTCCAGCTCCACAGTGAGCTTCCCTGAAGGGGCCAGGAGCCACAGGTCCACTCAGACCCCAGGACCCAGTGAGCATCCCCAAGTCTTAGGGTCTCAGAGCCGCTTGTCTTCCAGGGTACAAGCCTCTAGGCCTCCGCTAAGAACTTGGGTGTCCCTGACTTGGAGGAGCAAGATCAGACCCCTTGAACGTCCCCCATGTTCACTTTATCCAGAGGCTCCTACTATTCTGCCCATCTCACTCCCCAGCTGCTGCCAGTGCCACCCCACCAGTTCTGTTTGTCCCAGATGCTTGACAGCCCTTTCCAGCCATTGGAGCTGGGAAGAGGAAGGGGCTTCCTCATCTCCACATTCTCCCCACCCCAAAGCCAGAGAGAGCCAGATGGCACCAGCTGCTCCAGATGTGCCTGCCCCCACCTTGGCCATGTTGGGGGACAGGGCTGGAACTGGGGTCTGATCCCCATGTCCCAGCTCTGCAGCCTCCCTCCTGGGCTGAGGGGGCTGAAGTCAGACCAAAGGAAGAACTCAGAAATGTCTTGTTTATTTGTGTTTGTGACCAAGCAGCCCTTCCCGACACCCAGGTTTATGGCCTTGTTTTCACTTGTATATTTTTCACACTGTAAATKTCTTGTACAAACCCAAAGAAAAAATTAAAAAAATTTTTTTTGGTTTTTAAAAAAACATGAATATGCTGGATAAACGAGTGCTGGAGGAACTTGTTTGACCTCCATCCCTTCATTGTTTGCTGGCAACTCCCACACCTCTCATAGCTCTAACTAAGGAGAGGAAGGGCCATGGGGGAAGGACAAGTTCAGCAGAAAGTGAGGTCCTAGTATACCACAGCATGAAAGTGTCTCTGTTAAGAACTGGAAAAGCCTTCTATCTTGACCCTTGCAATGAATGCTACTTGGAACTAGGGGGTGGATGCATTAACCCTTTGAGGACTCATCAGTTTTTGTCCCTCAATTCTTTAGGGAATTGGGGGTGGGGGAGAGGGGACATGAGAAGATGCCCACCAATCCTAGGCTCCAGACCTTGAGTTTTTCACTCCCCTCCTTGTCTTAGGAGTTTGGAGGGGCAGTGAGTGCAGGTGACAGGCTGTCTGTTAGCACCTTGTCCATGGTGGACACCAGGTTTATCTGGAAAGGGCAGAGTGTAATTGACAGCTGGGAGGGGAGCAGAGCTAGCAGTGTGGAGCTCTAGGAGACAGGGCAATCAGGACCAAGATGTTCCTGAGTCCCCAGGAGCTTCAACAAGAGAGGTCCCAGAGATAAAAGGAAGACTTGGATTCAGTGGTGGGAGGGCGGGTGGATCTGAGGCCAGTGGAAACAGTCCTTGGGAATCTGGGGGGGGAGGGGTCAGGGGTTAGTCTCAGGAGTCTGGAGGGTTGGGGAAGGTACTGGGCTAGGAGTCCTCTGGAGAAGTCTGGCCTCCTCTGTAGAATGGGTCCTGGCACTCATGGAAGATTTTGGGAGCCAGTGGGAGGGAACTGGAGTAGCATCAGCCGGTGGGTGGGCAGAGGGAGGATCAGGAGGAGGGTGCTGACTAGTAAGAACTGACAGGTCAGGGGGTAAGGGGAGCTGACCAGGCCCAGGGACCCTGACCACAAGCTCCATGGGTTCCCGAGCCTTGTTTCTATAAGCCCTGCGGATGGTGTCCACTGCTCGCTGGTGGGTCACCTGCTCCAGGCTCTCTCCATCCACTGCCACAAGCTCGAAACCAGCCTGGGATCAGGATGGGAGAGTCATGGCACTCCCTGGGTCACTCCCACCCTACCACCTAACCTGAAGGCAGTGTCCTCTCACCTCCACTGGCTAGGGTACTCCTCCCCCAACTGGGTTCAGGAGATGGACAATGGGACTTTTGTGCTGGAGCTGTTGGGGGCAGGGTGGGGCATAGACAATGGCCTTTTGTCCCTTGAGGCCCAGGGTGGAACAGGATGGGCCGTCCCTCAGGCCTAGGCTAGCATCAGGGGACAGATTTTCCCCTTAGGCCTGTTCTCTTGACCCCTGCGCTCCCAAGCTTCTTCCCACAACCTGGTCTGAACATGTCTGGATGAAGCAGCCCCACACCTTTCCAGACTTCAGCTCTGGGCCTAGGGAGTGGACTTCACCTACCTGCAGGGCCCCACTGAGAAAGGCCGCACCCCCTGGGAAGATCTTCTCTATCTTCACCATGGGCTGCACCCTGGACTCGATGCCCCCTGAAATGCTGATGCCTAGAGAGGGTCAAAGGCTCTGGTGAGAATATAGCCATACCCCCAAATCCCAGGAGGAACCTAGGACCTCATCCCAAAATCCAGGGCCCCCAATTGCTCCCAAACCCCAGGTTCTGTTATTGCTCAAGTCTCAACTCCCAAATCCTTCAAATTCCAACTCTCCCAAATCTAGATTTCCCTTTACCCCAGGTTCTTTTCCTATGCCCAGGCAGATCTTGAAATTCAAGTTCACCAACTACCCAAACCCAGGAGTCTACCCCACCAGTGCAGTCCACCCTGCACTCACCCAAGGACTGCTTCATTTTAGACAGTGTGATTGTCCTCAGCTCCCCACTGGGGGCCTTCATGGCTGCCTCCTCAGCTCCCCTGCCGGATCCATTCTCTGAAGGACCTTGCCGGGCCCCCACCTTAGCCACCTGCCCATCCAAGGGTCGTGGCAGAGGGGGCCTGGCCTTCCGAGGCCTGTGGTAGCGCCCATTGGCTGCGTTGGAGGTGGGGATGGGCGCTGGGGAAGGGGAGCGCCTGCRCCCAGGGGACTTGCCTCGACCCCTGCTGTGGCTTCTGCTTCGACCCTGGGCTGGGCCCTGGCTCTGGCTCTGGCTCTGCTGAGGATCTTCTCGTCTTGGGGGTTCTGTCAGCAGCCAGTTAGGCCGCGGTGGCCGGGGAGCGACAGGGGGTGGTGGGAGAGAGGGTGTACATGTGCTTCTGCATGGTGTGAAGGCGTCTACTGGCACATCTTGGAGAGGGGGGATCCCTTGATGAGGGTGGTGGGGAGCCGAGGCACTCAGGGAGACCTTGAGGCCCCCCAGCTGCTCCCTCAGCTCCCCATCCTCTTCTTCAGAGAAACCATTCATAGGCAGCAGGTAGAAACCTCCACGGCTATCTGGGGAAGAGGCCAAGGTCAGGCTGTTGCCTCCTGGCCTCCCACCTCAGACCACCTTTCCAGCCACCAGGTCTTGCCTTTGTGTGTGGCCTATGAGAACCAGACCTGCATTTGCTCAGGCCCACTGCCCACTGGGACAGACAAATATGATCTATTATAGTCACATTTTAATACATTCTATTATAATACATTTATTTCTTTCTCTTTCCCTTTTTTTTTTTTTTGGTACTGGTGATTGAACTCAGGGGTGCTTAACCACTGGGCAACATCCCCCCAGACCTTTTTATTTTATATTTTGAGAGTCTTGCTGAGTTGCTTAGGGCCTTGCTGACTTGCTTAGGGCCTCGCTAAGTTGCTGAAGCTGACTTTGAACTTGCAATCCTCCTGCCTCAGCCTCTCAAGTTATGGGATACAGGTGTGTGCCACCCTGAACAGCCTGAACTGATAATTTCTCAAATATTATCACATAGAATGAGACTGGATTTAAAAAGCCAGCAGGTTTAAAAGCAGCTGTGAAGTGAGTAACAGTGCAGGTGGTAAGTGGGTGGGATGAAAATGGACAAGGGCTTTCCTTCAATGGGCCTCTGAAGCCATGAGGACCCCATTTGGGGGCAGGGATGGAAGGCCCCTTCTCTTTCCTAATGTTACCCGGGTTGTGCCCCCTCCTTGGGTTTTGAGATTCCAACTGACCAGGCACAGGGGTGATGAGGTGACGTTTGGGTGGCGTGTCCTGCCGGGCTGGTCTCAAAGCAGGAGGCCGTACTGGTTGGAGAGAACAAGTCAGAAGTAAGGCAGGTTAGCAACTTCTGCTGGCCCCRCCCCCACCTGGGCTCAGGATCCTGTAGTCCTGGCCCCCAGCTGCTGACCTGCCCTGCTCTTGAGGGCCTCAAAAGCCTCTAGCTCCACGGGCATCACCATACTGTCAAAGCGGCCCAGGTCCGTGGGGGCCACCACACTCCTAGAAGAAGCAAGAGATGTGGGTGAGCAGAGTTCAGTTGTTGAGGTAACTGGAGGAGCTTCCTCCCTGGGGATGTTGAGGTATCAGGGATCCCCTCCTGCCCCCACTCCTCAAGCCCCTCCCCACCTGATGTCCCGCAGAAGCAGGAGCTTCTCAGGCTTGTCCAGAATAGCCAGCAGGGGCCTCACCAGGTCCTCCACGCCACCCTCATGCACATACTGCAGAAAGAGGCACCACAAGTCAGACAAAGTAGGGACTTCACAGGTGGGCCAGGGGAAACCAGAGCACACAGGGGCCTTGGGACCCATTCGACCCTCCATGTTTTGGGAAATGTTCACTCCACCCCAGGGTCTAGAGAATGGTCTTATCTTGGTGACCTTGTGGAAGCCTGAAGTAATAACAGATCCATAATAAATGGCAGGAACAATAATAGCTTTGGGACAGACACTTTTCTAAGCCTTTTACATATGGCTTCTCACTTAACCACCCTGAGAGATGACATTAACTATTTCTATTTTATGAATGAGTAAACTGAGGCTCAGAGGGGACTTTGCTCAAAGCAACACAGATAAGGAAATGTGAGGAAGGACTGCAACCGGAGATGTCTGGCTCTTCTCTGCTCTGGTGGCATTAAAGGATGAGCAGGGAGCCCACTCTCCTCCCCACTCCCACCTCCTGACAGAAGGAAGGAATTTGAGCCCAACACTAAGCTGTGGGCCTGACCCTTTGTTTGGAGCTGGAATGGGGACCTTGGGGAAGGGGTGGCTCCTCAAAAAGCTTCTCCAGTCAGTACCCTTCTGCCTGGCACTGCCTGGATGCCACCAACGCGGATGCCACACCCCACAGACTGGAGAACTGAACACTGGGAGCCACCCTACTTGGGCAGAACACTGCCCCCTGGTGGCGAGAGGGAGACAGATTCAGGGACATGCACACAGAGAACCTCTTTTATGGGCATAGACAGAGAGAGCGCATCCTCTGGTGGTCAGAGTGAGTCATTTCCATTCATAAATAGCTGGAAATAAATAAAAACTTCGTGTGTGGCCCTAAACCTCACGCAGTCACAGGGATTCATACATACACAAACCACAATACACTCCTTGTTGTCTGAAGAAAGACATGCGAATGACCCAGAAACAGCCACATGTGTGTACATACATCAAGTCCACAAATCATTCAGCATCCAGGCCCTGTACTGGGCAGTGGAGACAAAATAATGAAGACCCCTGTCCCCAATCCTCGGAAACTCAGTCTAGTGGGAACAAAGGGCAAATGAACCATAAATCCCTGGCAGTGGGGCAACGGGGGTTTCAGAAGTGGAGGTTCTGAGTGGGCTTCCTGGAGATGGTGGCCTTTACTCAGACTCTGAAAGAAAAGATCAGGGAGGCAAGTGCTCCAAAGGCGAAGAGGAACGATGAGTAAACAGGTTTAGTGTGGCTATGGGGTCCACAAGGAGCCTCCGAGTAGGGCTGCACAGTGGTGAGCGCTGTGACTTGTCTTCCCTGAAGTTGCTTAGTTTGTAACCTGTTCAGGCCAAAGTGGTGGCCATGGAAGACAATGGGAAAGGTGTTGAGAGGTGACCTCAGAGARGGCCTTAAATGTGAGGATAAGC